GGGTTTTTTTTGGCTACAATGTGCTTTTCTATAACGGTACTGTTTTCCACATTATCTATTCTCTTTATTTCAGTGGCAGTGCAAGCGGCCCTGGTACAGAGTAAAAAAACATTGATCAAAAACGTGGGTAAGGCGGTAACCATTGATTGCAGTGACACTACAGGATGTTACGACTATCTCCACTGGTACCAGAAAAAAGATGGAGATGTGTTGAAGAGGATCCTCTATATGCCCATCTCTGGTGGCAAACCAGAAGCTGAAAATGGATTTGAAAAGTTTGAAGCTAAAGTTGATAGAGGCACTTTCAGGCTCATTATAGGCATGGTGGACGCCACTCATTCTGCCTTGTATTACTGCGCCTGCTGGATGTATCACGGTGATGCAAACTCTACACCAGGCTTGGCAAAAACCAGAACTGAACTTTTGCCAAGTCTAGCTCAGTGAGAGCCTTTGAGTGAATACCCCAACCCACTGAGCCTTACATCAGCCCCAAATCTATGACCAATTCTCTCTTTCCAGGATTCAAGAGTTTAATGTCATATGCACAGTAAACAATCAGTTACACAATACAATGAAAATCTTACTCTACATGTCCTTCCAGCCACCAGTAAACATAAAATAAACACAAACACAAATTTAGCTGCTTCAGTAAGACAACAAACATGAGTATTCCACTGAATGAGCAAGTTAATATCTGCAGTTCTGATCCAGCAATCACTGGTTCTGGTGGAAATGGGCTTTGTTAAGATAACCTGGATGATTCCGGTGTAATTGAATCTATTTTTGTATGGTGTACAATATATTATGGGATGCTGAAAATATGCCAAGTGTTCTGGATACCTAAAATGTATGATAACGTGTAAGATAATGAATGTAGGGTAAACTGTATTGTCACGCCCACCTGGTGACGGCAACAACCACAGCTGATCCCGCAAAGGGATAGTTAGTGGATCTCCCTACTTATGCCTTCGCACCGGCAGCAGTATGGTGCAAAGTATTGTTGGCATGCCACTACCAAGCCACCTAACTTTTTGTTCTTCCCACAGTTGCGTTCCGTCGCTGTGGCCCTTCCCGAGTCACCCGCGCCTCCTGCCTGCCCTCCGTCCTTTCCAGCCTCCCCGTGACCCCCCTCGTGGATTCTCCCTCTCTGTGTGTCCCCGGCTCTTCGACCTTCGGCTCTCGTCTTCTCGACTAGGGCGTTTGGACACGTCTCGGCTTCTGGTGCTTCCTACGGACGGCTTCTAATAACGTTCCTGCAATGGCTTCTGAACTCTCTCCGTCTCACCCTAAATAAACCCGGTTGCTTGGAATCTTCTGTCCTGGTCCTGGTTTACGGTACATGTATTATTATAAATTATATTTTTACCGAAATTGTTATATAAATGATTTGGAGTGGACATGAGATTTATGAGTCTTTATATTTAAAAAGGAAAAGTCGTGATCAGCAGGGGACCCCAGAGACAGTGGGGGCTCAGGGTTATTCGACCTTTTTTAATATGCTACACAATAATTTATGTCTGAAGTATTTGACTAATAGTTACTGTCGTGATGTTAAATGTTGTGTCAGTGTATTTCAGCGACACCACATGGTGGAATAGATTAGAGTTGCACCCTGAATGTGTGTGAGTGGGGGGGCGGCAATGGAAAAAGTAAAAATGCCATAAGTCTTGTGTTTTACTCGGTCACTTATAGATAAGGTTAGGGCTGGGTGGGGGTTTCGGGTGTCATACTTGGGATTAGGGTTATGGCAACAGAAATAAACAGGAAGTCCCCACGTGGATTGTGTGTGTGTGTGTGTGTGTGAGAGAGAGAGGGTATACCTTACCTTATGGGGACACTATGCCTTGGGTGTTTTGGGTCCCTGGCTGAGATTCTGTTGAGCCCCCCAACCCCCCAGATTAGCAGAAAACAAATTTATATTTAATGGCTGCTAACTAGCGAGTTGGCATCTGTTTCACAAGAAAAGTACTGAATTATTAAAACTAGTGTAAATAAGTGTAATGTCACTGAGTGCCACCAGAGGTATTTCTTTTGATATTTTTTACTATTTGTTTCCATTATAAAGACCCAAGTACGCAGTACCACGCAGAGGGACAGGTGCTCGACGCTTTT